TAATAATTTTTTTTTTTATCATTATTATTATTTTTTTTCGTTTGTTTATGGTTTGAACGATTTGAAAGTTACGTTATATTGTATACTACGTACACCTACAAGTCAGAGCGCATTAGACATCACGTATTTGGCATTAGGCAACCATTTAAGTTTACCCTTACGTCATTGTTCGTTCCCACACGTCACGGCTCTCGTTTATTTTCCCTTGGCTATATACGAGCACCTATACATATTTTAAAGTTCTTGGCCATTACTAGGCATGCAGCTATATGTTCACACACACATAATAAACACATGCTATATGCGCACAAGAGAGTCAGACTCAATAATCTGCTCGTTGACTCTCTCTCTTGCACGCGAGCACGTGGATAGGGACGGGGCGGGGGTGAACTGGCCTTCATTCGGGGCGAAGGCGAAGGAGAAAAATTAGCTCTAGACGGGGATCGAAGCTCTCTCTCTTTCTCTGCACTTTGCTCAATACACATACATGTATATATATATATATATATATATATATGGCTACATGTGTTGGTGGACGCACAGTAGTGGCGACCCCGAATCTTCTTTACCCTTGTCCTTTATCTCAGGCGCCTCTCTGCTGACTCTTCTTTATTTTCGCTCGACACGAGCCAAATGACTGACGCCCTCTCGGGCTCTTCTCACCGACACGTTTTTTTCATTTTTAACGATGTAACACTTTTCTCTTTTTTTTTTTTTTTCCCATACGACATTGGGGATGACTCGGTGTTTTTGGATGGACAAAAATTGGGCTGCTGAAGATGATCATTACTGTCCCGCTGTATAAGTAAACGAGCCGAGGCTGACGACGGAAACGGAAGCAATAATTCATCAGGTAGCACTTGGTACAGCCGATATTGGAAAATTATACTAATCATCAGTTGCGCGTGATTTATCCGACACTTTCGCAGTGCCGAGGAAAAATTCTTTCACGGGATCTCTCGGCACCTAATATACTGATTAACTTCTTTTTTTTTTTTTGCCGCGTCTTGATTACCGTGGATAAAGCATGAGGAAAAACAGCGGTGAAATGACTCTCGCTCCCTAGCAGAAAATGAGCTATGAAGAACCCCCACGGGGAGTAAATAAGGAAAACGAGATTTATTTTAGGAGCACACGAAAAAAAAAAAAAAAAAAAAAAAAACCTATATCTCTCAACTAATCGCGACACTTGTTGTTCAAAAAATCGATCAATTGTAGCGGCATCCGACGTATAAAGTCAGACACCCACTCATTAATAAAACTCTCGCCTCCTCCAGGATTGCGCTCGACAGCCTCCCCTAGCCATATCACACCTCTATCAGCGTGTCCCAACAGCCCATAACCCCGATCCTCGCGAGCTTTCCCCCTTCAAAAGCCTTCAATTCTTTACAAAGAAAAAGCTCCAAAAAAAAAAAAACCACCCACCCACCCACGCCAGTGTATACAATAAGCTTATCTTTAAACCGCGCGAGCACACACACATGCACACAGGGAGTCGAGGAGCACTTTGAACCTCACCTTCGTAACCCCCACGACAAATCCCAGCTTCAGAGAGAGAGAGAGAGAGATAGAAAAAGAAGATATCGATCCCCTCTTTTTCTAAAGAGCCACCTACGGAATGTGTTCCCCCGAATAACCTTCTCGCGCATACGGGGGAGAGACGGGCGTAGTAGCGCTCTTTAGCTTCCGGCATTTCTCGCTGGCACGTGTCTCTTTAAAAGAAAAAGAAAAAAATCCCAACCTTCCAACTCTCTGTCTCTGTTTGTGTACACGTGTGTTAGAACTTAGACAGACGGAAAGAGCTTTTGCGAACGACAAAACGAGCCTTCGGCTTTAAAAGCCAGTCAATTGTACGTATTACGCATGTATGATAACACGGTATGATGTACACTTGCTCATCGATTGCCGAGAAAAGCTCGTTTCAACGCTGCAAACCGAGTGTTAATGTACGTGGCTATTTTTAAAAAAAAACAAGCACGCTGTTGCTGTAACCAACATTGGGTGCGATTCGGTGTACCATTGAATCGTGGCAGTGTGGCCCTTTTTTCTTTTCATATCAAAATAGATCAACCCCCACAATCCACTTGGTTGAACTGTAATTTGGGGGTGGTTACTTAGCAGCTGGTGATTTACGTTTGGAGGAGTTTTGTCGATATTTATAGAAAGAGCGGATCCCCCTGACACGAGCTTCGAGGGGAAACACGTTTTTTATGATTTACAAGCTTTTGTGTTTCACTGTGGGATGTTACTTGGAGTCCAGTTGTATACCTTTTTAAAAGAAAAAGAAAAAAATTATCTCTTTTCTTACGTTGGTTTAACGGTGTGAATAACGCAAGTTGTTGTTTCAAAACAACCGGAAAGTATTATATGCAGCCTCAAAACTTTTTCTTTTTTTTTTATTCGGCGTTACGATGCCAAACGGTTAACTATGAAAGCTCCAGATGTTGAGAGAGAAAATTTTTTTTGTGTATTAGGTACACAGTTTTTCCAAAATGTCGACCTTGTATTTTGCTCCAAACGGCGATTGTTGTTTTGAAGAGGTGAAAAAAAATTTTGCGACACCTACATAAGCACACAAAGTTTTTAGATTTTGGTATATCAAGCCTTTTTTTACTGGGAGCTTTGGTCAAAAAAGTAAGTTAAACGATTTCCAACAAAAAAAAAAAAAAAAAAAGGTTTTACAGTGGAAAAAGAAAAGTTCCTTTTTAAATATTTCATTGTTCGGATAGTAATTTTTCTTTTAATATTAAACTTGTGAACAAAGTTTTAAACTTGTCAAAACGGGGACTGCCTTGTGGTGCAGGGAGAAATCAAAATGCAACCAGAAGCGTAAAGTTTACCATTCATACATGCATTTACATACAAATACATATATGTAACACATTCGTACAATATGACTGGAAATTGGGTCATTTCACGTTTAAAAAGTTTTTTCCCTCCATGAGGACAGAAAATGTGTTATTATAAATCTATAAAATTGGATGTCTATACGTATTTTATTATTACGTTCGTGTAATATTTTCCGCCTTTATAATGTCTGACGTATTTGTCAAAATTTACATGTGATATCGTAATATTTTTCATGAATTTAAATTTTTTTCTCTAATTTTCGGATGTCGAGATGAAAAAAGAGATACATCAAACAAAGGGAAAAATTTTTTGGTCCAATGAATTATAAAAAGTCATTTCTTAACAGTTAATTATTCATTTTCATAAAATTTACTATTATTTCAAGTGTTACGTTCTCGATAACTATATTTTTATCCAGACACATTAAAGAAAAATGTATTATTTACACTTAAATGTTAGCGTTTCACTGATGATTCGTATTTTTGTCTGTTACAGGTGAGGCGATGCTTTTTCGTCTAAAGTAAGTTTTACCATCCTCTCGAACATACATTACACTCATCCCACAGGTTACCGATAAAACAAAATACCACTTACACTTGAAAAATAAAAAATTGCTATTCCAAAAAAACGTCGATGTGATAGAAAGCTCTATACCCATTCGTCAAGACCTACAGGAAACACTCGCCATCAATCGCCAAAAAATCACAATCCTCCTGTTGATGGCCCGAAGAAAACAGTTTGAAAATATTTACAGCAACGCAAAGAGAAAAATTTAAAAAATAATAAAAATGATCAACCTACACTCGCAAAGGTCGTGCCGTCCAGTCAATCGGATTCAAATACACACGCGCGCACGCACACGCAGGGAAAACGAGCTCGCGTTCTTTGATCTGTCCCGTTCTTTTATGTCACAGGCACCCGATTTACCAGCTCGTTAAGTACAGATGGGCTGGAACGTTTGAAACGCATCCATCTCTTTCCGTCTTTTTTTTTTACACTGTCTGTCTTTTGCCCACGTATATTTGATGTTATACATACGTCCCCTCTCGGTGTTACGTATTTCACTTCCCGAGGAATCTTAGTTACCGATTTCCGCCCTTGTGAGTTTAGTCTTTGGTGATCGCTTTGACTAAAGTGGATTGAATGAAACGTTTCATCACTAGGTGATGATGAAACACTTCATCAGGATAGCATTTTTAGGTGATTAACTATTCAGTCGAGTCGAATAATTTTATGTATAAGTACACGAAAAAAAAAAAACTACTTTTTGTTTGAACAAACGCTTTTATATAAAACATTAATTCTTTTAAAATTATTGTTTCTAGAAGTATTTCATTAACTTTGTAAATTTCGATTTACATTTTTTATTTTATAAACTATATGTACACTTCCGTAGTTAGACAAATATTTTCGGTAGCTCGATTCGCAATCTTTGTATAAAATATATTTAAGTTGTAATGATTGAAACATAAGTACCATTTGAAAGTTACAAACATTACAATAATACAACTAATGAACATGAGATTATTGATTGGATGTAGGTTTGATTTCAAACCGAAGTAATTCCAATATCTTGGTACAGTTGGTTTTTACTTCCAGGATAACTTTCCATTATACATTCCAATATCTCGTTGCACATGCGTTTTCTTTTCGAGTACTCTTGACTGTAAAACTTAAGATCCTTCTCGGCTTTTTTCTTGGCACCACTTAAATCTTGCTTCCCTGAACTTTCCATCAATTCATCAAGCTTAGCAGTAAATTTTGCATTGGACTCCTTCAGGCGATTCCTTTCTCTCACAGCTTCTTCCAAACTCATGCCACACTTGAGAGAATTAAGAGCAGATTCTTGAGCCTTTACCTCTTTTTCTAACTCTTGTAATTTCCTATTTTGCTCGCTTGCATGTGACTCCAACTCTCTTTCAATCATCTTCAACTCCTCCAGGTTTTGTTTTGTATCTTGTTTTGCACAGTAAACTTTTTGTTTACCATTAATCTGGAATTATGTACATTATTATAGGTAAGAAAGTTATGGACTTTGGTGGATGAAATGAGAAAGGTCTCTTACTTTGACAAAAATTTTTTCATGATCAGCTAGTTTTTCAAGAGCTTTCTGTGTGGCACTTTTGTTGTGTTCTTTTTCCAGAGCATTGGCCACATCATTGGCACTGAATGGTCTGTTTTTCAGCTTCATATACCGATAAACAGCTTCGGTAGTCATAGTGTTGTTGTTGATCTGAAAAATAAGGATCAGCAAGATGAATATATGTAAAAAACACTAATCATTGCTTTAATTATTAAACGAAAGAATTATCTTTCTCACACGAAATCTATAGTTACGTTAAGTTATTTTCTTTATTTGTAATACTTATATCACTGCCTATCATAAGACAAACGTCTGAATGTATACAAAGCCGAGAAAATACAAACTTTTCTTTTAAAACAAACCATAAGTGTGTAACAGTCAACTCACATTTATGCGCTCTAAACGTACAATAGCTACTTTGTCCGTGGAATTCCGGATCACCATCACTTAGATAACATTAGGTTGGTTCTCAAAAACTGACATTCCCTACCACCAATTTAAGTACGTTTACAAAATATAAATATTTCAAACAAAGTGAAATATTCAACAACAACAAATTGAACTCGATTTGTGATGCGCGAAAAAAACGTGTGTGAACCAGTTAAACGTGAAAAAGACATCTAGTGGTGAAGATTGAAGTCATTGGATGCTATACTTAAGTCGGTACTGTCGGTATCTATAGCGATACTCTCATGGTAACGTGATTAAAAATATTATGCTTGTTTCTGGCTAAAAAGTTTTATACATTAAATAAATAGGAGAAAAATACCATGTAGGCTGAAAATACAATTATACGCGGTTCAAAAAATGCAAAAATATGACTGTTTTAATATATGATGAATAGCAAAATTTATAAAAATTTAGTTTATTGTCGTAAAAAGATTTTGTAAAAAAAAGTNGGGGGGAGGATGATGGAGCCGACATAGGTAGAAAAAGCAAAGATAAAGTAATTAGCAGAGATGGGCATAAGTTAATAGATCTAATAAACAACAAGGGATGGTATCTGTTGAACGGGAAATGGGAGGGTGACCAAGAGGGAGAATACACTTATATATGCAATTTTTCTTTCTTTTAGAACGTATTTCTAAAAAAAGATAAAACTTGATCTAAGGTTTTTATAAGTGGACGTATTCTTCGATGAATCCAGTATGATATTTATAGAAGAAAAAAATCTATTGCAAAAACAAAAAAAATGTGCTCGTCACGACAACACACACGGTACAAAAAAATCGTCAAAGTGTAAGAGAAAGTAGTACCATCCTTGACAAAAAAAAGGGACGAGAGACAAGAGGACAGAAAAATTACATGGGAGAAGTATCGATAGCTTTCGCTACAATCATTTTATTTCGTGCAAAAGCGTGTGACATGTTTTTTTTGCTAGAGTCTCGTTTTTTACCATCAACCGACGTGATTACGTGTTTTTTACGCTCGAGTGAGAGATAAAAAAATCGATTGATCGCACGTACGCACGAACGTAGTACTTGGAAGCGTTTCAATTACAATCCGACATTCGAGCGGTTCGTTAAAATTTCCCGAGGAAAAGCAATTTTCTCGTCGCTTTTCACGTCCCGGGGTTACTTTTGTTTTTGATGACAGACGAGCGGGCCGTGATTAATTTTTTCGCCGATCGCTCGGACCGTTGGACAGGTTATTTGTCAAAAAAAGTTTCACGCGCTAATTACCGATGGAGACGAAACGGCCAGACTAAATTTGCAGCGCTTGCAATCGCCAACCGTATATAATCAAGAGCAATTTTTTAATTAAAAGTTGAAAGATCGAGAGCACGGAATCCGATGAAATTCAATCAAGTCGCTCCTTCCGGTGCTGCATTGACAACGATGTGAAAAACGAAAATAAAAAACATAAAAACATACATCCCTATTGTCACTTTGAGCCGAGCTCCGACTACGTCCTCTTCTTACAGGGCGCCGACAATAGGAGCGTGGAGGTCGCTCGATTGTTGAAAAGTCCAATTACTTCTGCCACTCTCTCGTTGCTTCATATCCTCCGACAAATTAAAAAACTTGTTTTGATTGGAAAAATAGAAAAAAAAAAAACAAAAATGTATTCGATTGTGTGAAAAAGCAGAGTTAGATGATAACAATTTTTTTTTTTTTCTTTTTTCAAAAACGTGTAATGCTCTGTTTTCTTTTAAATATTTTTTTGATTCCTAATTAAAAAGTTTTTGGCAAAAATGTCCAAAGAAATGCTTAATCACTTATTTTCTTTTCGTAGAGATGGAAAAAAAAGTTTTAGAAGAAAAATCGCAAAGCAAAGGACATTCGAAAGAAACATGCGTACGATCGATCGAAAATCATCTCACGGTAAAGGTAAAAATCCTCAACAAAAGAAAACCCCTAAATCTCCACCCTCTATCACGGTAATCCCTCGCGTCTACCACATTGTTACTACAATCGTCATTGCTGTTGTCATTGTCTCTGCTATTCCTTTGAAATTTCACCGGTGCAAAATAAATGAGATTCCGCGTATTTCACCCCGGCTATTGCTGTCTGAAATTCATACGGCAAAATATTATATTCCTCCCTCCCACGCACGTATATTCCGAAGCACGCGGCAATGAGGGGGATGAGTGTATACATCGTTCGGGCGCAAACGAAAAACTGATTATCTTCTTTCCTCGTGACAATCACATTGATGACAATGGGCAGCAACAATGTCTCGTGGATTTTTTATCCAACGCGTGTATCAGTCAACTACTCGGAACAAAAACCCACTACCAAACCACGGAATCCACAACCGGGCCACGGGTGCTCCTCCCACGCTGCAGCTTCTTGTATGTGTACGTTCCCTGTTTCGAAGTAACACTCTCGCACACGTGTATGTATCGTATGTCGAGTGTAACGAATAATTAACAAACAGGGCAAAGTGTGTGCACAGACGTGCCCAACTTGGATTTGTAATTACTCCGAGGGTTGAGCTGGCTACCGATGATTGAACCGCGGAAGCTCGACTCTCTTTGTCAGAGGTGTATATACACATCAGCCAACAATTAGCGAGGAGATTTGGTGCGACTGCGCATTAGTTATTAGATTTGGGGGATAGCGCGATGGAGGGCTTGGTGTTTGCGTATACTTGTGCTCCTTTACAGGGGAGACCAGTGAATTGTGGGTCAGAGGCTTTGCGGTGAATTTTACAAATATATTTACTTTGTTCTGTTTCGTTGATTGCTTATAGCTTTTTTTCTGAGAAACGGATTCTTCCCTTTTTTTTTTTTTTTTTTTTACCGTGTATTCATCGAATGTTTCTGCATCAAAGTATGGAGCGTCAAAATGTCATCCAAACAGAGCCACTCTTGGGCAGTCGAACTAGTGGGAAATTCATTCATTTCTTCACTGATCGGTATTATCACGGCAAAAATAGGGGAAACACTCGTTTTCCGGTTTACTATTTACCAGTTTTTAGTTAAATTACGTTTACCGTAGAGTATACGAGCAGCGAGCGATATTAAGTAGAACAAACCGAAAATAGCCAGACGGAAGACACGAGTTCTTGAATGAGTTATATATTTATTCATGAATATTGGGTAAAACTATTTAAAAAAAAGGACAAAATATTAATATAATATTAAATGATTGAAACTTTAAATCTGTAATTTTTATAGATAACATTAATCGCCCAGTTTAGCGAAGAAAATAAATATAAATAGCACTAGTATAAATTTTAATTCATTCAGTAGAAAATTGATTCCAACTTATAAATCAATGGACAGTATAAGCTTGAGATTCATATTGTAAGTATGTATGTTTATGTTTCGTTTTTCCTTTTTTTTATTATTGCATCACTATAGGAATTGTATGAAAACCAAACTCAAATATCACTTGTTGACAAAACAAATGTAAACAAAAAGATGTGTCATCGAATTAATAACCTTAAATATTTTTTTCTTTTCAATTCGATAAACCGAAGCAACAAGATAAGTATCGTACACACAGCAAAGCGAAAACGCCGATTCAGCAGCAAACGAAAGAGTAGCTCCTTTAAGGACGCGCCCGTTAGGTACGTGGCTAACTTGGAGAGAGAGTATAACGATTAATTGGACGAATAATAGCGCAACTGGATCGTCCGGCGAACGGTCGTAATTGATGATTTGAATTGAATGGCTTTCGAAAGTGCAGATCCAGAGTTTCCGAAACACATAATTGAGCCTCGGTCGGGGGACAAGGGAAGGCTTTGGGTGCTCACTGGTTGCCCTTGATTTACCGCATTTCGGCTCCCGCGTTAACGGGCGCGTGAGAAACAAATGATTTTCACGAATAACATTGCCGTACTTTGGAAATCGGTTGTGTTACATATCGACGAAAAATAATTAATCATCTCAAAGCTTCGCGTAAGGGGCTTACAGTTCCAAACACAAAAATAATACATCGCAAGACCGATTGGAACCCATGCGTCAGGTGGTTGGATTGGTTGTGCAACAATTTTTCTCTACCAGCTTCGTACTAGTTTTGTTACTCAAGCGAGGATATTCTTCTTTACCAGCTCCAACTGCCAGGTCCTGCACGCCCGTATATATGTGGCCCGAGGAGTCACTTGCGAAATCTTTCGTGCAATGGGTAGCGCGTTGGACGTATCGATTATCGAAGGTAACGTCTCTTGGAAAACGCGCAAGGCCGGGGGCGCGGAGAAGAACGAGAATGGACGTAACGAGCGGAGAAACGGAGGCTGCGCCGGCTCGTTAGTCGCGACGACGACGCTTTCGTGCCCACTTTACGCGCGAGATGGGAGGATTTTAAGGGTGGATCCTCGGGAGTGTTTAGTCGCCATTGAAGAGTTTCGTAGCCAAGGATCGTCTATTTTTTATTTTTCCAAGGGATGCTCTCGAGGCCAATTTGTTTAATTTTTTTTTTTTACATCTCACCTTTTTCATTTCCCCCTTTCCCCCTTACTTGGGCATCGCATGCATCAACAAACCTGCAGCAGCTGTGTACGGAGCAAAAGTCACAATATCCACTCGTCCTCATGAAAAATGCATCCGGGTCCCGTCCGCTATATCCCTTGCGTAAAAAAAAAAAAAAAAAAAAAAAAAACCTCAACAGCACAGTCAGTCCACCGAGGGTGTGCGTATGCATAGAAAGAGTGGCCGTATACGCAAACCGTGCAAACAGTGTAGCACCCCCCGAAAGCCCACCTAAGCTCGGGAATAAACAATTTCGCGCGAACGGGGGAACGCCCGACTCGTTAACCGGTCGAGCTGTACAGTGTGCACGTAAGTCACAGTAGCTGGCAAAGAAGAAGGTGGAGGGGATGAGGCTAGCCGTTAATTTTGCACTTTCCCTCCAGGCCCCGTTTCGCGCTACCTGAGATCATGCATACGCGTACCCAGGTCGAGGTATACCGTATACCAGAGGAACACATGGTGCT